AACAACATGGCCGGTGTGTTATTTGTGGCTTGTATTCCAACGAAAGAATACGAACGTGAATTAAATCCATCATTGAACGGTGAAAAAAAATCTAAAAATAAAAGAAATGTTACGATAGCACAAAAAAACGATTTCGATACGAGCCATGATGCCGAACAAGTTAGTTTGCTTGCCGACAGCGTCGATTCGTCGGATTCTGATGAAACAATGTCTCTGTCACAGGAACAATGTTCGATAATAACGGAAAAAAGTAAAATATGCATAACACCCAAAAAAGGTTGTTTGGATCAATCGAAAGAATCGTCACAATCTAAAAATGATGAAAGTGGAGGAAAGGATAAGAGAAAAGTGTCGAGACTTGAAATATTACCGGATACTAGCATGGAAGAAGTGAGTTGTCCACACACACACACACAAAATGTTATACCTGAATGAAACCCCCCCCAATACGAAAACCCCCAAAAAAACAACCGTAGTCGCCTTCAGGTACACACTAAATCGATACACACTACAAGAATTCTTTAATAATATTTATTTGAGTCTTGTCTTTTCCCTCCCTCCCATCTTCCACCTCCCTTCCATTTCCAGTCAGTTCCATTGCTTTTCCAGTTAAGCAATAATTTATATTTATTGATTTCTAAGAAAACCAATCAACTTTTTTTTTTTTTTTTTTTAAATATTACCGTTATAATATAAAACACCTGAAATAATTTTCTTAAAATTTCCCAACGTCATCATATTTGGAGTGAGCCAACTTTTTTTAATTCGAATAAAAATTTTCACCTGGAGAAATATACCAAATTAATCATCATCAACATCACTATTATTAAATAAAATTTATTTTTATAATTTTTCAACGATTTTTCTTTTTTTGTACAACCTTTCAATGTCAAAATAATTAGAACATGAAAGAAATTTTTTTTTTTATTAAAATCGATTTTTATATAAAATGCTGCTGGAAAGGTGATGATGACTTTGCTTTATACAAGAAGAAGAAGAAGAAATTGACCTTTTGTCAAAAAAAAAATGGCGTGGATTGTTATCGTTTGTTGTGTTTGTTTCAGATAGTAATTCGATTATTGAAATCTTTGAAAATAGAAAATTATTCTTGGGTTTCGGCAAAAAATGAAAAATATATTCACGTTATTTTTTCCGTGGCAGAAGGTCAACCTTGCGAAGAAGCTCTTCATATATTTACAAAATGGGGTATAGGAAATAGATTCAGATCGACACTTGGGTCGGTTTTTTTTTTCTTAATTTGTCTTATAGCAGAAGACAAACTGCTGACGAACTGATGGATCAATTTCTAAAAAAATAAATTTTTTTTTTTTAATTCGCAGAATAATTCCGTGTGCTTTGTATTACATGTCGGATGATTTTCGAAGTTCAGACGATGAAGAAACTGCAAAGTGAGTAAATTTATTTTTTTTTTAAATTTATTTCAAGTATTAATAATTTTTTTGGAATTTTAGAAAAGATTCTAGAAAATCTGGATGGAACGAATTTGTTTTGTCCGTTGTGAGATCTCGTTTAGCAGTGGCACAAGTTGTAGAAAGTGTTAAAGGAAGTGCAAAACTTACTTTTGATTTTGTTTCGATGATAATTTTGGCCGGGTAAAATTTTTTTTTTTTAAATCTCATTAAACGGAATTTTTCTTTGACGTCGAATGGCGATTAATTCTTGATAATCGTTTCAGAACCATAGCTGCAATAGGATTGGTCGAAGATAGTACCGTAGCAATTGTCGCGAGTATGTTAATTTCTCCTCTTATGGGCCCGATATTAGCTGGAACATTTGGAACCGTAATAAATGACCGGAAACTTCAGTTAATGGGTGTGAGAAACGAACTATTTGGACTCTCTTTAACTATTCTTGTGGGTTATATTATCGGGTTAATTATTGGTAGCGTTGACGGTTATTACGTTGGAGATCAATGGCCCACACAAGAAATGATGTCGAGGTAAAGTTGCCTTTAACTATATCCCACTCTTGCAAGTAATAACGAACTTTACTTTTTTTTTTTTTTTTTTTTAATTTTCAGAGGTTTGCTTCGCTCCCTTTGGATCGGTATTTTTATAGCTCTTCCTTCGGGAGCGGGTATCGCTTTAGGACTTTTGGGCGATAATTCAGGATCCTTAATTGGCGTGGCCATATCTGCGTCTCTTTTACCTCCAGCTGTAAACGCAGTAAGTTATTCGGAGACTTTGGTCGGTTATTTATTCGCGTTAAATTATATTTATATAAATCATAATTTTTATAGGGTCTTTTATGGGCGTTGGCAACGTTAGAAATAATAAAAGGTGGTGTCAGAACAGAAGAACAAATGAAAATTTTAGCAAATAAAATTTATTCAAATCATCTTCCGTCAAAATATGCATTGTTGGGTTGTGTCAGTCTCAGTTTGACGCTCGTTAACATTTTTTGCATTTTTTTAGCGGGAATAGTTGTTTTAAAGGTATTTTAATTAATTTCACAATTAATTATTAATTATTCAAAAAATTTTTATTTTATTATTCTCTTCATCATCAGATCAAAGAAGTAGCTCCGAAAACTGTCACTGATGAAGCTCAACAATTTTGGTATCACGACATTAAAGTGGCAAGAGATTATAATAGGTCTTTCGGCAGAGGAGGACAGTAAACAATTTGAAAAACAGTTAGTTACAAATTAAATTTATCCTCGATTATTTTTTGTTAAAAAAGGTTTTTAAATCATAATTTTTTGTTTTTAGATTAGCACAAGAACTTGCTGCCGTTTATTCTGGAGAAGACGAGACAACAACTTCTCCAAATGAAGAAATGAATGAATTCAGACGAAGACTCAGTAGTTTATATCATTTTTCTCCAGATACAGCTCGAAGAATATCGATTGGTCCAAGACGTTTGAGTCAAGCAACTTGGTCTCCAAGTCCGAGTACTTTGGAAAATTCACGAAGGTCTTCTTTAAGAGACTTAGAAAAATTATATGCTTCACTAGGAGGACCTGAACATCCGCGTTTATCTCTAGGAACGGCATTTAAAGTTGGTGAGTGAACTCATAATTAAAAAGAAATATTTATAATAGAAGAAAACTTTTATTTAAAAAAAAAAAAAAAAATTTATTTTTAGCCCAACTTCGACCAGTAAGGAAACCGGAGGAAAGCTCGGGACTTTCTCCAATTGTTGAATCAAATGGAGATTTGGATATTGCTTTAAGTGACGGTCGTAGGTCGTCATTTTTCCCAAGAAGAAATCCGAGATCAAGATTTACCGTTATTCCTAGTGCTAGTGATCCTCTACGAAATAAATGCTAGGAAATTATTACAATTAAAATGATTAATTTTTATTTTGTATTTTATGTAAAAAAAAAAAAAAAAAGAAAATTGTCGCAATTATGTAATAATTATTTCTTTTTATTTTAGCTTGTTTTAGGTAATTTAATATAATGTTATACTATATTATAAATATTTTTCTCTTATGTTTTTTTTTTTTTTTAACTTTCAGAAACATTTAAATTTCGAAGAAATTTGGCAATTTATTTTATTATTTCTAGTGCCACGTCAGGAAATGAAATGAATATGTGACCATTATTCTGTTTTGTTTGTATATATAATGTCAAAACAAAAGTATTTTGACTTTATAGTTTTATATTTTTTTTATTATTATTAAAATAAAATAAAATAAAATAACAAATTTTTTTTTTTTAAAAATAAATTGTCGGTGAAAATTAACGAGTATATTTTTAATAAAAAAATATACATAAATGTTTCGTACCTGAAATTTAGGCTTGTTTTTGCCTAACAATTTCGAATAAATAATTTAAAGTTTAAACCAGATGCCAATTTCATTTTATAGAAAAACCTAGTTAGTAATAAATTTAATAATTTAATATTTGGCAATCACTTATTCAATGATTTCAGTTAAAAAAAATTTTCATCATGTTTTTTTAAATAAAATCAAATTTGAAATATAATAAACAATAAAGCCAAGTTTTCATTATACAAAAATGAATGAGTTTGATACACGTAATGGTGCTGAAGTTGTTATTGGATCTTCTAGTATGTACCCATCAATTGACAATAGTTTAGCGAGTAACATTAGTACTCTTGATAATCAAGAAGGTATCAATAGCACACACAGTATTATAAGTTCTTTAGAAGGTACACATTTAGAAGATGTTGCTTCAGGTATTAAACAAAGAGGAAAAATGTCTTCTATTAGAAGATTCTTCTGTTGTTTTGTTTTATTCGATCTTCTATTAATAAGTTTAATTTGGTTAATATGTATTACGGTAAGAAAAAAATTGTTTAATTTTATTTAATTTTTTTTCTTCTTTCGTGCTAACAGTTTTCATAACTTGATTCACAAAAAATTATTTTTTTATATTTCTACATATTTTTTCAACTTTTTAAAATTTTAAATATACAAATTAATATCTCTGTATTTATTTTAGATAATAGACAGTAACAATATAATCAAAGTTATAAAAATGCAAATTTTAAATTACAATATAAGTACTTCTTTATTTGATTTAGTCGTAAGTATTTTTATTTAACAAATTATTTTTTCTCCAAAAAATAGTTATTAATATATATTTTAATTTATTATAATTAATTATAAATATTAAATGAAAGTAAAACTATCTTTTTCCTATTGGTTAAAGTATACTTTTAGTTAAAATTTTAAATAATGTTTTAAAGAATTTAGATTGAATTAATTAAATATTTATCATTTGAAATTAAACTTGTTGATTTAAAATTTTTTTTTTCAGGGTGCTGCAATTATTAGATTCATAATTCTTTTACTTTTTAATGGCATTTTACAATTAAATACAAAATTTTTTATCGGCCTAACAACTTTTGCTACTCTACTTTTTTTAGTTTTTAAAGTTATTTATTACTCTGTAAGTACTTTAAAGATTTTATGTTTCTCATTTATTAATTTTTACATTTAGTAAATTAATGATTGCATATATATATTTGTTTTTAAGTGGTCATCGGAGGGTCAACCCACATTTGCAGTTATTATTATTTTAATGTCTTTTATTGTTGCCTGGTTGGAAGCTTGGTTTTTCGACTGTCGTGTTATACCCCAAGAACTTTTTGCCTTGCATTATGTTCAAAGTAAGTTATTTCATTTATATGTGTTACCTTGTATTTTCCTACCAATTAAATTTATTAATAAATTCTAAAAATTAAAGTTTTTACGATTTACAAATAAATGTAAAGTGAGAATTAATTAATAAAAATAGTGCAATATTATACATTATTTATATTATTAAATATTTTCTTAGATTTTATTTTATTTGTTACTTTTAAAGATATCATTTGTAAAACTAATTAAACTTATAGTTTTTTATACTTAAAAATGTTGTGCTTTCCTAATTTTCAGGTGAAACTCATATTTACACCGATTTGAAACTCGCTTTGAAAATTTTTATTATGTTAATAAATCAATGTGAACAAATCAAACAACGATGAAACATTGATAGAAAAGCCTTTTATTTTTCTGTTTATTTTTCTTTATTGAAGATTATTGTGTACCCATGTTTAAGTCCTGAGGGATCTTTAAACAAAGTATTACTTCAAATGTTAATATTTAATTTTTTTTTTTTTTCTCGAATACTTTTTCCTTACTCGTATTGCACATTTTAAAATATTTTATTTATAATTTATAATTTATTTTTCATTCTTTTTATCAATAATAATATTTTACAGGAAATAAAAAAAAAAAAACAAATTTATCAATCATGTTATAAATGCAAAATACAAATTTCTGTTTTATTATTATTATTTTTATCATTATTCCATTTTAATCTGTTAATTTTTTTGTATTTATTTCAGCAACGGGTAGACTATCAGAATCTTTAAATAATTTAATGACTGATAGAGATTTTAGAAATCCATTATTAAAATCCTTTCGTGCAAGATTTGCAGACTTTGAGGAAGGTGCTTCTTTTAAAAATTATTATTCTCCATTGGAGAGTCCTGAAGAATCTGATGATGAATCAAATGTACCGAGAATTCCATCAAAACTACCGGTAAAAACCATTTATACCGGTTATTTTAAATTATTAATTTTGTTTTTTATTAAAAAACTTTGTTTTATTTTTTTTTGAATAGAATTGTGAATTTTTACAAAAAGGAAAAAATACTTTAGATACTGTTTGGACTATTTTAAATGATCCAGGATGGAAATTACACAAGGAAAATACCGAAGGGGATTCCATTTATTTAAAAAATGTTAAACAATGGGGAAATTTTTTTTTACTTAAAGTAAATGTTTTTTTTTTTTTTTTTTTTTTTTTAATCTGATGTATTTGAACTTTTATTTAGTAAAATTATTTCATTTCAAATACAATTTTTTTAATAATTACAACCTGATTATTGAACAGGACTAATCGTAGTTTTTTTTTTTGGTTTTTAGACTAAAGTTAATATGAACGCTGAAACGTTACTTTTAGAATTATTTAAAAATATTAATAATTATAAAAATTGGAATCGAAATATATTAGAATGTAGAAAAATTCTAGTCATTGACGATCATACTGATATTATATACCAAGTAAGAATTAATAAATATATTCATAAATTTTTGAATTTAAAAAAAAAACCCAAAACATTAATTTTGAATTTATTTTCTATTTAGGTAACTGCTCCAGGTGGAAACGGTGTGGTGTCTTCCAGAGATTTTATCACTCTTCGCCATTGGGGCGTTAAAGAAAATTGTTTCCTTCTCTCAGGCATTTCAGTTTCATATCCTAGCTTTACCTCCACTAAATCTTACATACGGTATTATTATAAAATTCTTTATCATTTTAATTTTATGACTGATGTAAATATTTATTTAATATTACAGTGGTGAAAACGGACCTTGCTGTTGGGCCTTGAGACCTGTTCCTGGTCATTTAAATAAATGTTATTTCGATTTTCTATTAAACACAAATCTCAATGGATGGGTTCCTCATTATTTGGTGGAAAGTGCTATAACTTTTGTACTACTCGAATATTCAACATGTTTTAAAGATTATTGTAAGACTTTAAATGAACGTAAATAATTATGACAGTGCTCAAGTATTTAATTAATATTTGTACCAATTTTCAGAAAAAAAAAAAAAAAAAAACAATATTTTTTTATAAATATTTTTTAAAAACTTTATTTACATAAAAATTTCCAATCAATCATTTTTATTTTTTTAAATAAAATAATAGGTTTAAACATAAGTTGTATTTAAATATTTCAAAAAAAACAAATTATTACTGCCAAATATATATTGAATAGTTTAAAATAAAATAAAATTGAAATGAATAACAACTTTTTGGTATTTAAGAATAAATATATATTCAAATAAAATTTGTGATTAAAATTTAAAAGTAAAAATCAATTGTTTTTAATTTATATTATTATTTTTTTTATTATTGTTTTTTTTTTTTACAATTTTTAGAAGAATTTTAAACTTATACAAAACTAATATAAAAAAAAAAAAAAA